TTGTAAAACAGTAAACAAGTTAGCTCTAGGTTAAAAAAACGAAGTTGATCATATATACATGTAAAGCCAATAAATGCACAGAAAATACGATAAATATTATACTTATTTCATTAATATATATACTAGTAATTAAATCAAAGGCGGATCCAGGACCGGCGTTCCGGGCGTGCCCCCCCCCCCTGTTTCTAATATTTGTATATAAAATTTATAGGTCCATTGTCCTAAATTCCGTACAGCCACCAGACCCCTCTGCCTTCTACTGCCCCGCCCCCTCCCCCCGTTACGAAATTCCTGGATCCGCCACTGTAAATGTTCTTCTTCTCAATTAAGTGCATTATTTAAGGAATGTTACAATTACAGTTCATTGATATATGCATGTACAAACAAACACTATTACATAGCAACATTATGCCGATTCTGGGAAAGTTATAAATCAGTACTGTATAACTGATTTCCCCCTGCCAGGAGTTAATCTGTATATAATCTTGATGGACAGCCGAGCTCTATAGGTCACGCAGTGGAAAATTTTCTCTTTATATATATCGCATTTCTCTTCATATATATAGAGGTTTTGTTTATATATTTCGCATTTCCTTTATATATATTCAGGTTTTGTTTATATATATATCGCATTCCCTTTATATATATCCCAGTTGTGTTATATATATATCACATTTCCTTTACATATATCCAAGTTTTGTTTATATATATCGCATTTCCTATATATATGGAGGTTTGCTTTTATATATTGCTTTTCCTTTATATATACAGGTTGGCACTAATGGGCTTCCGTAGTTTGAAGCAAAATCAAGAATGTTTTATAGGATTTTTTTCTTTTCAAAGTGTTTTTAGGGAAAATCCTGTAGCATCTTTCCTTTCTTCCATTCCATAGTTAAATATATCCATTTTTTCTAGCAGACAAAATGCTTGCTGCAATGCTTACATCTGGAATAGCACGCTGCAAATTTGCCAAGGTAGTAAAATATTTTTATTCTACAGCACATTGGAAAATTCTTTCAAACATTTACGATGGGTATCTGCCTTCTGATATCTGCGTTCAGATTAAAATAAAATTATATATAAGTTGTTAATTGAATTTTATTTAAATGTATGCTTGGCTATAGTGGAATCAACTGTTCTATGCTCCGTCCATATCCATTGTACGGTGTTGAATCTCAACAGAAGTGCGGATGTGACGAGGACTCCTGTCATCCAGCGTCTGGATGCGCCATGAAAAGTAAAGATATTTACGTACATTTTAAAGAAAATCAGTAAAGAAGCAAAATTAAGCTTGTTTCAGTCGAAAATATTTTCAACCCAAATATTTTTTCCTTTTAAATACATTTATGTAATACCTGCTTGTTCACATATCATTGAGATCTAAATAAACCTTCCACTTTCTTCCTGGATAAAAATCTCTATATTTGTCTGAATTGTCATTTATTGAAAAAGTCAATAAATGGGGAGATCAAAAAACCTTATACAAATATTCTTTGACATAACCGAGTAAAGTTATATAATGATCTCCCCTGTAACATGTCAAAATAATGTACGAAAAATTTGTAAAACATTTATACATTACAAGCAAAAAGTTGGCGTTCAAAAATAAAAACAGATTTCTTAAGTAGAAAAATTTAACGTGTTTTGTTTTCTCTCTAAATCAGTGAAGTGGCGCTATTCTGAGACACAAGAAAATACACGCTTCTGATTGGTTAATATACGCTGGTTTGCATTGGCTAATTCCCCAATAGACGCCAAATACACATTACATATAATATGTTTGATTATTAAGAAAACAAAAACTCTAGTACCACAAAACACATGATTACATAAATGCTATTATTTGACAATAATGCTGTATATTAACAAATAGATTCGTTTCATTATCATTCCAATCTTACTTTTCGTATTGATTTCTTGTATTTTGATTGGACGAGAACAAATTCAAGAAAAAGTTTACACATCGATATTTCTTTTAATCAGAACGGCTTTCTTGACCTAATTCTAGACGATTATAGAATCAATGAAAACAGTTACTTAAAGTTAGCTTAAGATAAATTATGATAACAAGAAACGAAATAAATAAGAGGCCCAGGGTCACATCGCTCACATGAGCTCTGGCTATGTAAAACTAAAAGCAAAAATCAGTTAAGTATCGAAAAAATTAGATAATAAAGTGGGTTCAAGTGGAATCATGATTTTAACAAACTTGAATATACACCACATGAGGATGCTTATATATAAATATGATCAACGATGGCTTTGCAGCTGTTCTTGAGAAGATTTTAAAACTTTTTTCCTATGTATTCCTATATCAAAATTTGAACCCTGACCCATCATAATGGCCCCACCCTACCCCTGGGGTCATGACTTGAATAAACTTGAATCTGCATTACCTGATGAAGCTTCTACATGACGTTCATCTTTTCTGGCTAACTTGTTCTTGGAGAGAAGATTTTTGAAATATTTTCCCTATTTATTCCTATGTTAAACTTTGACCCTCCCCCATTTTTGCTCCATCCTATCCCTGGGGTCATGATTTGAACAATCTTAAATCTACACTAACTGAGGATGCTTTCACATAAGTTTCATGTTTCCTGGCGCAGTGGTTCTGGAGAAAAAGATTTTTAAAGATTTACCCTATGTATTCCTATGTTATACTCCCCCCCCCCCCCATCATGGTCTTACCATACCCCAGCATTGTCATGATTTGATCAAAATTGAATCTACACTCCATGAGTATGCTTCCACATGAGTTTCATTTTTACTGGCCCAGTGGTTCTGGAGAAGAAGATTTTTAAAAATATTCCCTATGAAATCCTATGTTAAACTTTGACCCCCCATTGTGGCCCCATCCTACCCCTGGGGGTCATGATTTGAACAATTTTGAATCTACACTACCAGAGGACGCTTCCACATAAGTTTCATTTTTCCTGGCCCAGTGGTTCTTGAGAAGAAGATTTTTAAAGATATTCCCCATGTATTCCTATGTTAAACTTTGACCCCCATTGCGGCCCCATTCTACCCCCGGGTCTCATGATTTGAACAACCTTGAAACTAGATTACCAGAGGTTGCTTTCACTTGAGTTTTATCTTTCCTGGCCTAGTGGTTCTTGAGAAGATTTTTAAAACATGCCATTAATTTCTCATTAATTCATAATTATCTTCCCTTGAACAAACTTGATTTTCCTTCACCCAAGGATACCTTGTTGCAAGTTTGGTTGAAATTGGCCCAGTGGTTCTTGAGGAGAAGATGAAAATGTGAAAAGTTTACGACGACAACAACGACAACAATGACGACAGACAACGGACAAATTCGCTTCAGGTGAGCTAATAATATGACGAACAGGTCTGACATACGGGAATATTAAATGTTTTTGTCATACAGTCGCCGACAAAGCATCCTTGGATGAGTCCACTGGTTACTCTGAAAAGTGACGCAGGTTACCCCTTCGTTAACAAACACTACAATGCATGGCAATAAAATGTATGGATAATAATGAAGAAATATGGACGAGAGGAAATGAGAAAACCATGAAGCTATTTAATATCAATGAAGGTTTAGTACTAAAGTCAATCCCAACTAAATCAGGAAATGCCCCAACGGACATAGCAGTAACAAAAGACGGTCATCTTGTTTATGTTGATCATAAACAGATATCTGTAAACATCGTGAAAATGAAGAGATTGAGACGGTGATCAAACTAATCTCTGAAATCTCTGCATGTCTTCTTCTGGTGATTTTCTTGTTGTCATGTACAGTAATGATTTCAAACAATCAAAAGTTGTCCGTTACTGTGACTCAATGGAGAAACAAACAATTCAGTTTGATGATGATGGCAAACCTCTCTTTTCATCTTCAAACCCAAAATATATAAGTAAGAATAGAAATCTAGATATCTATGTGGCTGACTACGCTATTAAGGTAGATGGACTGGTAAATGAGGCCGGAAATATGAGATTTAGGAACACCGGACATACCCCTGCTCCAAGGAAAAAACTCCTTTAAACCCAAGATGCATCAACTTACCAAGTTTGATGATTCTAAACCAATTAGTACCGGAGATACTTAAGGTATCCGATCCATAATTCAATAAAAATTGATACATGGAAAGCATATGATTTATTTATTGAGTATTGATGATCACCCCATGGGGGATACAAAAACTAGGTCATCAAGGGTGATAACTCATAAGGAGAGATAACTCTGGATGTTTTCAAAATTTTTAAAATTTGATTCACAGCATTCATAAAATGACAGAAATGTATTAAAAACAATAAAAGTCAATTTAAATACCTGTTGTATTTTATCATTTATATATAAATACATGAAAAACAAAAAAAAAATTCAACATTTACAATTTCTGCAAGTGAAATTATACAAAAAAACCCACATTTTTGGACGTTAAAAAATTAACAATTTTGGTTAATTTGAATAATTTATAATTCTCTTATATAACTGGAAGCAATATTTTCTTTTGTGTTTAATCTATAGGGCAGCAACAGTAGTTAAAAATAAATAGGTCATCAGGGGCAACAACTCACAAAGGGAGATAACTCATAAGCAACTTTTCGAGAAAGTAAAGTAAACAAATTTTCTACGGTTTCAACCTGATATTTTCACAACACTAAATGTATTTCTCTCAAATTTCAAGCTAATAAATCATAGAAATATCTGTCTAAAATATTAATATATCAATGTTTGCTCTGTTCCAAGTTTGTATTGCTTGAATGGACATTTGACGTTGATTATACAATTTTACACATAATAACATATCAATTGCTAAAATATGCACATAGTTTTGGAATACATTCTCCTAACACTCTTTTGTCTGATGTGACTCTTGGTTTCTCTAAACTATTTTACAATTTTACACATAATAACATATCATTTGCTAAAATATGCACAAAGTTTTGGAATACATTCTCCCAACACTTTTTTGTCTGATGTGACTCTTGGCTTCCCTAAGCTATTTTACAATTTTAAACATAATAACATATCATTTGCTAAAATATGCACACAGTTTTGGAATACATTCTCCCAACACCTTTTTGTCTGATGTGACTCTTGGTTTCCCTAAACTATTTTTCATAGAAAACACATTAACCAGTCCATCTTCACCACTTCTCTTGAATATCAGTCTCAAATGACCCAGATTCAGTCCAGATCCAGCAATATTTTCTACCGTGCAGGATTTCATTACTTTTTCACCAATAAGAGGGCGAAGTGAAGCAACATTTTTTGATTTACAAGAATTAAATTCTTCTTGAAGAAATTGGCAATCTGTATCATACGAATGTTTTTTAAAGTCTGAAACAGAGATAAGTCCTGCTTCAATAATTTCATCTAGCATGACAACATCATCAACAGCATTATGGGCATTGTAAGTATGACCACAAAAATGCTGTGCCAGAAATTCTTGCTTATACTTATCAAGTTTAGGGTACTTTTGTCTGAAAAGAGTAAGCGAGTCACAAAATGCTGCAACATTAGAGCAAAATCTCTCTTGCAAACCACATCTATGAAATGCCCTGCATAATACTCGAAAATCGAATGTTCGGCCATTGTGTGCTACCATTACTATGCTGGGAAATTTCTCTAACCACTCCAAGAAATCCTCCAGTGCCGACTTTACTCTCACAAAATCAACTGGCTCACCACGGTAACATAGAACTCCACCACTCCAGGTTATGTTGGTGACCTTTTCCGCCATTGGTGTAATGGGCAGGTCTGGAGCCACATATCTGGAGAACTGCTCCTTTGTATTCCTATTTACAGCAGCAATCTGGGTGATGTGGGGCACAATGCCATGCTGAACTGAAAAAAAATATGGATGCAAATTTTTATGGTAGTCCAATCTTATCTGATTACATAGAGTATTTTAAATAAATATTTTTAAAAAAATATTTACTCAGGCCAGTGGTTTCCAGATCTAAAATGACAACATTTGGTGAAGGGCAGTGCTTCAACTTTGTGGAGGAGCAAAAGCTTGGTTTTGGCACAGGCTCAGGGATACTTTCTATATCTTCTTTATCATTGACAGAAAGTCCTATTTCTAAAACAAAAAAAAATGTTTTTATATTGTACACTGTACATACTAAAATAATTGTGAAAATTTCTGCATCTGAAAAATGACAAACCAGACTGATAGGACAATCCTTCCATTGCTTCATTTCCTCCCTTTGAGGTTGCTCTCTCTTCCTTCAACGTCAGCCTTCTTCTCTTTCTCTCTGGTAACCTGGCCCGCTCCATCCTCTTGATCCTGTCAGCGTCCATCTTCTCTGCATAGGACTCGGAGAAGTGTCCAGGAGACAGGTCATTGTTGACGAAAGTCTGTATGTATTACAAAATAAAATACTTGAGTTCACAACATTATTGTAGTAAATTTTTATAGATTAAATTTAATTTCTCATGAGTCATGATCTTTATTTCCCAACAAATTCTTAGTGTCCTATTTTTGAGTCTTATTGTTATTTTGATAAAAATGCAGAAAATATGTTGTAACTTCATCAAAATGTTGTATCAAACATTTATCACATAAGTAATATCCTACCGGAAATTCCCAGTAATTGTAAACATGTAATAAATAGAAGTTATTATATTAGTGCTTCAACAATACCAGATCTTTAGTGTCTGAAAAAGTAAACGCAGAATGGCAGAACAAAGAAAATTAACAAATGTCAACATTTCAACTAATCCCAACAAGAAATAACAAGAACAGAAGTACCTTTCAAAATTCCAACTTGTATCACCAGAAATTTCAATAAACAACAGAAAAGAAAGAACTGAACCATGAACAATATACCTCTGACAAGTACTTTCTACCCTCATTAATATATGCTGCTGTTGCTTTCACTCTAAAATCTAAACTCTCACTTTCGCCATAATGGAGATGCTTCGGAACTCTAAGACATGTCTCTCTATTGGCATGTTCACATGCCTGACTTGACCCTAATTCTACATATGAAGCACTTTTGGCAATGATTGGAGCAAAAATTTCATCAAGACTATGACGTAACAATGGATCCTGCAACGGTACTTTATATGGCAAACTTCTATGAATGTAAGTTTCATTAGGTTTACGTTTATACCCACAAAACCTCCCATGACATTTGCTGTGGTCACCAAACTGATGTGGAACCAATGCTACCAAATTTTCTCGCATTCCCTCTTCATCACCTTGATTCTTCGCAAATATGTATTTGATGCACTTTGCTAAATGCTGTATGACCTGATTGGAAATTTTGACCACTTTCGAATTGCGAAGTTCATAAAAAGTTTTTATAATATTTTTAACACAATGATTTTTGTCAAGTCTTTTCACAACTGACAGACCACACTGACTCTTTAGACGGGCGATTAGAGTGTTATCCCCATCACCTTCAATAATCTCAACTGGTGTACCTTGACTGGTCATTTCTTTCAGTGCAAGTAGTCCAGCCTCACTCTCCATCATCTTAGCACTGCCTCGGTGGTTCCAAACACATCTGTGAGACCTTATTCTCTGACCTGGCCTATTTCTTTTCCACCATTTGCATGTTGCACATGACCGATGCTTGATAACTGTCTTTAATACTTTGTTCCTTTTACTTATCAGGTAAGTATGTCCTATTACAAAGAAATACATGATTTTGTTACAGCCCATATCTACATAAGCATTATAATTAATTATACAAATGTTGGAATAGTTTCAACAAAATACCTGTTAAGCTGTCATAACCTCTCTTTTGCCAAGCATGATCAGCTGCTACTGTCATTCCTGATCGTGTCTGTGAGGGGAATATAATTTTCTTTTTTGTTTTGGCTGATGCAGTTCTGTCAACACCAACTTTTTTCACTACTGGCATTGGTTTGGCAGGAAGTTGAGGGGATGCACTATTACTGAAAGCATGGTTACAACTGACATATTATATAGGTTCTTGATGTATGTGACTATCAGCTAAAATAGTACCCAAATTGAAATACAGATTTATTTACCTCTCAGTCAGTAAATCAAATGCTCCCATATTGCATTTTTCAATGAGTGATGGATCTCTACAAATAACATATGGATTTTAAAAATAAAAAAGAAAATGATTCTTGGGAAACAGTATATACTCTTTCAATCAAATATATTATATGCTCGAACTTCAAATATTTACCCTTCAAATTCATCTTCAATTATTGCGACACCAAGTTCTTTATCATAAAAATCTGCATTTGAATCCATCTCCTGTGCTGCAACTTCTCTGAAATTAGCCAAACATATAATGAATTTTAAAAAGTCATCAAAAAATTAAATAAAAGGAAGATAAATATTCAAAAGTATGCTTTCATTAGTAATAATAACATTTTATACAAGTATACATACCCCATTTCCTCTCTGAATGCCTTTTGACTTTCATTTCTCATATTTTCATCTGCAAATTTCTCAATCATCTCACCAGCTCTGCGTTCCATAACTTTAAGGTTTTTATTATTAATTGTTGGCAGATTGAGTGTTGCAAGAAAATTGTTCATCCTCTGTGGACCACCAACTGAATCAATCATTGCTATCAAAAAGAAATTCATAAATTTATAAGAAACCCATCTATCTACATGGAAGTTTTATATCCTAGTGTAAAAAAAATCACAAGAAACTTGGCTCACTTTGTTTAATTTTATAAACTTAATCACTAGTCATGTTACATTATCCTTAATATAGAATTGTAATCAATGTTATCATTTTGTAAAAATTGTTCATGCCCCCCGTGGGCCCTTGATTGGTGAATAAACATAATAATATAGTAAATATATAAACAATAACTACCTGCACCGAGTTTAGTATTCACGCAGAAGCTGGGCATTCCTCTCTTGCCTTTTACCTTCTTCTGTTTTTTCCCATAGGGTACTCTGTTTACATTACCGCAGTAGGTACATTGCACATATAAATACCCCGAAAGTCCCACTTTCATTTCTGCTTTTACTGTTTGAGGGGAAAGAAATAAAGGACCACAAAAACATTTCTTACAGTTCGCAAGACCTTCAATGAGTATGTTAAATTCCACAATACGTCTTCCTTTTAGTTTCAAACTGTTCGTGTTGATTTTCTTCGCTGCATTCAACTTACTTAGCCCTGGACAGCATACATCACAGCCGTTGAAACTTGTACAAATATGTTCTGATGTATAATTATGTTCTTCGATCACATTTTTCTTTTTGTTTTCACTGACTTTTGGCTGTATTCCCGGCTGACTTTTGAACCGCCCGAGTTTGTTCCGTCTTCTTTTCACTGGCGCCATGACGGAAATTGACAGTCTCGAGAATTCTCGTGCGCGTTATTTTTAAATTTAAAGCTTGGATTATTTCATAGTCATATTCATACGTTTCAACGTTTACTTAGAATAATATAAATAATGTATTTTTGTAAATTAAAAAAAAAATATATGGAACGTTTAGTTTTCCGATCTTGTACGACATGTTCCGAAGTCGGCCGATTTCATAGAGGCGAATTGTGGATCGGATACCTTAAATAAAGCCATAAAATGTCAAAAAGTAGGTCACAGTTTTTGTTCATCACTCACCGAAAACCCAAGATGCATCGACTCACAAAGTTTAATGATTCTAAGCCAATAAGTACCGTAGATACTTAAATAAAGCCATAAAATGACAAAAGTAGGTCACCGTGACCTACTTTTTGGTCGTCACTCTCCGAAAATTTAAGATGCATCAACTCACAAAGTTTGATAATTGTAAGCCAATAAATACTTAAAGATAAAAAGATACTTAAGGTAGGATTCTTCTCTGGTTTCTGACTAGATGGAATATTCAAAGTAAATTTGTTGATATGTCTTATATATTTAAATGTAAAAGATTTAAAAGACCATATTTTTCTTTCCTCATCACAATTATACAATTTTAAATAGAAATGATAAACAGTGTTTGAAAACTAGCAGAGACTATATTTTGGCGGAATGGTGGCGTATGAAAAGATCTTATTTTCTGCCTCTCAAAATTATTATAGGAAATTGAATTTAGTTATAATTTTTACGCAATCAAAGACTAGATGGAATTTTCAAATGTAAGTTAAATTAATAATAAGGGACTAAAGTTTCAAAATATATCAAATAAATAAGATTTTTCACACATACTAGAACTATGTTGGCTTTTAAATGCTTCCAATCTAAGTACAGATTTGAGCCAAAAATCCGTAAAAAGTGTTATTTCTCTCTTAGTAAACGATCAAAACTTTTACTTTTTGTATCATTTTGTACCTTTAAGTGGCAACTTTACTATATGTGAGAATTAGAAGAAGTTAAATATAGGAAGCATATAAAAATAACTAATAAATCCTAAAAAATTAAGAAAAGTAGAGGAAATTCGGATTAGGAAATATCCATTTTATTTAAATTATCCATGTCAATTTGGTAATATCATCTTATAGGCCCTATATGGTAGTATCTTTTTATGCAAAAAGAAAAACATTCAATCTTTTGAATAACAAGTAGGGATCGCATGATTGGAAACAGTAACTTTTTATTCTTAATGTCCAGGAAAAAGGTAATGACCTTGACCTGACCTTGCCTCTTATATTAAACGGTCAAATTTAATCTCACTGATACTATCACTTAGTAATATTGTCCTCTTGATTCTGTGAAAGTTTCAATAACTTTTAAATACAATTAATGTGAGAAGAATCCTACCTTAAATAAAGCCATAAAATGTCGAAAGTAGGTCATCGTGACCTACATTTTGGTCGACATTTTTCAAATTCCCAAGATGCATCTGCTGACCAAGTTTGATGATCATAGATCTGAAGGTAATCAAAATATGCCTTTTAAACAATTCAAAAACAAATGCCTGCAAAATTGAAAAAGTAGGTCACAGTGACCTACTTATTCATAAATATGTTTTAAGGTCCCGAGATGCATCAACTAACACGATTTGATTATTCTAAACCTCTTAGTGACTGAAAAAATGGTATTTAATGTTTTAAAAAGATTTAGTCATAAAATTGAAAAAGTAGGTCACTGTGACCTACTTCTAAGTTTACTTTGTTCAAGGACCCAAGATGCATCAACTGACAAAGTTTGATGATCATATGCCTTAAAGTGTCCAAAATGTGCCTTCAAATCAATTTGAAAACGAATGCAGGCAAAATTTAAAAAGTAGGCCTACTTTTGAATTAACATGATGTGAAGTCCTAATAAGATGCATCAAATTACAGAATTTGATGACCCTAGTCCTAATAGTAATCAAAATCTAAACATTTTTAATATTTGTAAATATTTTTGTAAATTTAGGTCAACTTTGAAGTG